GGCATTTACATATTTTCAACACAGAGAGGGAAATCTGCTGACGTATACTGTCAACATGAAGCTTGCTTCTAGTACTTAAATCAATGGCATTTCTCTAAGATCACATCTGCCAGGTGTGGTGGCTCATTCCTGTACTCCCAGTGACTCAGGAGACTGAAGCCAGAGGATCAACTGAGGCCAGGGTTTGAGACCAGCCCAGGCAACATAGCGAGACCCTGTCTGAAAAAAAGAAATTTTTTTTCTTTTGTTCATGCCTGTAATTCCAGCACTTTGGGAGGCCGGGATGGGTGGATTCCTTGAGGCCCAGAGTTTGAGATCAGCCTGGCCAACATGGCAAAACCCTGTCTCTACGAAAAGTACAAAAATTAGCTGAGTGTAGTGGTGGTGTGTGTCTGTAGTCCCAGCTACTCAGGAGGCTGAGGCAGGAGAATCGCTTCAACCTGGGAGGCAGAGGTTGCAGTGAGCTGAGATGGCACCACTGCAATCCAGTCTGGGTGACAGAGGAAGACTCTGTCTCAAAGAAACAAAAAACAAAAGAAAGAAAGAAAAAAAACTGTAGTCCCAGCTACTCAGGAGGCTGAGGCAAGATTACTTGAGCCCAGCAGGTGGAGGTTGCAGTGGGCCTTGACTGCACCACTGTACACCAACCTGTGCAACAAATTGAGGCTTCAACTTAAAAAAAAAAAAAAAAAAAAAAAAAAATCACATACTCTGTAGGGGGAAAAAGAGACAAGTAGTCCTTAAAGAGGCAAGTAGTCCTTTAAGGATCACCCAGAAATTCCTTGAAGGAACAATAATTTCTTGAGGCGTCAACAAAAATAAATGATTCATTCATTGCAAGGGTACTGAGTGCTAATCATGTACCACTGACTGCACTAAGTATGGCTATGGGGCCTGCCCTCACAGAATTTAGTTGGGGACGTTGTACAATCATAGCTATGATACTTTTTAATGCAGCAATTCTCAACCAGAGGCAATACTGTCCTCCAGGAGACATATGGCAATGTCTGAAGACATTTTTGGTTGTCACAACTGAGGAAATGTAATTAGCATCTACTGGGTAGAGACAGATGCTGCTTAATATCCTATAATGCACAGGGCAACTCCATAATAAAGAATTATATGGCCCAAAATGTCAATTGTGCCAACATTGAGAAACCCTGTTTTAATTTAATAAAGAGCGTAGGAAAGTACAAAAGATTCAAGTAAAATGCTAGTTCAGGACTTTCTGAATTAGAAAGTCACCTGTACCATATAATAAAAATTAAGATAAAGGTCGATCTGTGGAGAATTCTGTAAGATGGACAAGAGTTTAGAATTGACTCCTTGTGAATATGAAGTCAGTGAAGAGAAACAAGATGAAAATGCTTCTTATTAGAGAACTTTTTTTTTCTTCTTCTTTTTTGTACCAGCTGAGATGTGTTTTGTATACACACTTATTAGAGAACTTTTAAAAGATTAGTCTGGTTGTCATAGAGAAGTTGAAGTATAGGTCATGAAAACCAGGTTAGCACAAATAAAGAAACTGATGGCAACATTTCAAAGCAATAATCACTAGGATTGGGTAAGATACTGCTCTAGAACTCAGGTTTCAAATCTCAGCATTAAATTTCAAACCAGAGGTTCAACTTCCAGTGACACTTTGCATTTGCTTAAGTATAAAAAAAAAAATATTTGATTCATAATGCTTCACAAAAAACTGAAAGGAGGAAGTCACCTTTTTTTCTTTTATAGAGACGTGGGTCTCACTATGTTGACCAGGCTACTCTTCAACTCAGCCTCAAGGAAGTCAATTTTTAAAGGCTAAAAAATAACTGCAACCAGCCGGGCGCAGTGGCTCACGCCTGTAATCCCAGCACTTTGGGAGGCCAAGGCAGGCAGATCACCTGAGGTTGGAAGTTGAAGACCAGGCTGACCAACATGGAGAAACCCCGTCTCTACTAAAAATAAAAATAAAAAACATAGCCAGGTGTGGTGGCACATGCTTGTAATCCCAGATACTCGGGAGGCTGAGGCAGGAGAATCACTTGAACCTGGGAGGTGGAGGTTGCGGTGAGCATTGCACTCCAGCCTCAGCAACAAGAGTGAAACTCTGTTTAAAAAAAAAAAAAAAAAAAAGCCCTTCACAACTTGTCAGGCATTTATCTTTTTTTTTTTTTTTTTGAGATGGAGTTTCGCTCTCGTTACCCAGGCTGGAGTGCAATGGCGCGATCTCGGCTCACCGCAACCTCCGCCTCCTGGGTTCAGGCAATTCTCCTGCCTCAGCCTCCTGAGTAGCCGGGATTACAGGCACGTGCCACCATGCCCAGCTGATTTTTTGTATTTTTTTTAGTAGAGACAGGGTTTCACCATGTTGACCAGGATGGTCTCGATCTCTAGACCTCGTGATCCACCCGCCTTGGCCTCCCAAAATGCTGGGATTACAGGCGTGAGCCACCGTGCCCGGCACAGCATTTATCTTTTTTTTGCAGTCTGGTGTTCTGCAAAACTCCAGGCCCCAGTATGGTACTGAACAATTTAGGCCCTCTCCTGCCTCCGTATCTTTACACTTGCTGCTTCCTTTAGCTGACCCACCTTATCAGACATCTTTGCCAGGATGTGCTACAATCACCTCAAACTAAAAACATTCAAAATACCTTTTTACTCCCACGTCACCTCCCTAATTTACCTCCTCCCTAACTTACCTCTCATACTCTTTATCTCAATGGTATTACCCAGTTCTCTAAGCCAGAAAGCCAGGCAATCAGGCTACTCTTACTTCTTTTTTTTTTTTTTTTGAGACGGAGTTTCGCTCTTGTTACCCAGGCTGGAGTGCAATGGCGCGATCTCGGCTCACCGCAACCTCCGCCTCTTGGGTTCAGGCAATTCTCCTGCCTCAGCCTCCCGAGTAGCTGGGACTACAGGCGTGCGCCACCATGCCCAGCTAATTTTTGTATTTTAAGTAGAGACGGGGTTTCACCATGTTGACCAGGATGGTCTCGATCTCTTGACCTCGTGATCCACCCGCCTCGGCCTCCCAAAGTGCTGGGATTACAGGCGTGAGCCACCGCGCCCGGCCCCTACTCTTACTTCTTAATTCCCATAATCAGCCTCTAATTCTATGGATTCCATCTTTTTTTTTTTTTTCCTCCTTCTCAACCCTGTGATGTATCTTCTTAATATTGCTCAAATCTGATCCTTCCTCAGCATTCCCATTTCCATTGTCTTAGTTCAGGCCATGCCTACAGCAAGAGCTTCCAAACACCAGTTTACTTCCCCGCAGGGATTGGTCCATTCCCACTTGAAAGACTGAACTTTCCAAAATATAAATCTGATGACATCATTTTCCTGCATAAAACCCTTGGAGGCATCTCTATAGCTTTCAGGGTAAAAACCCAAATTTCTTAGCATTGCTTACAATGTCCTCCACATATGACTGAACTGACTACATCTCACTTCCTCCACTTCCCCAACCATTACTAGAACTCCAGTCACACTGAACCAGTCATGGTCTTTCACCTGTCCAGTTCTCCAGGTCTTTGCACCTGTAGTACTCTCTGCCTGGAAATCCCTCTTCCAGGTTCTCTACATTGCTAAATATTTCAAGAGTTAACCTCCCATTTCCTCCTGGAAGCCTGGACACCTGGCTCAGGTATTTCTCCTCTATGCTCTTGTAGCCCTGTGCTATGCACTATGACACTATGAGTCATTCCTCAATTACTTGTCTATTTCCTCTCCCACTGTAAACTCCATAAGAACAACTGTATTCTCTGCCACAAAGGCTGTCTCATTAAAATGTGCCTCATACATATTAAGGTCTTAATAAATGTCTGGTAAATGCTAAATTTTCACTTGAAGAGAGATCCCCACAAAGAGCTCCAGCTGACACAGTTCTGATGCTAACCTGTCTCAAATGCTCTCATTCCCCTGTTTGAAAGCACTCCTATTCATCCTTCAAAATTCATCTTAAAAACTTTGCTTCTTCAGAAGGGCTTTTCCTGTATCCCGTTACATACTTTCAAAGCACCCTGCTCTTCCCTTTTATAATTACTTCTTAAACATCCCTGCAAACACTACTGGCTCCATGTGAGCAGGGTCTATGTTGCTTTGTTTTAAAACTGCATTCCCCGCATCTGGTAAAATCCTGGCACAGAATAAACACAATTTGTTACGGTGAATTTAATCCTGTGGGGTCAGCAGAGATCTCCACTGAAAAGATGAACAAAAGGAGGCTCAATGAAGTTAAATAAAGCACCTATGGTCACAGACACTTAGCACAGAGGCCAGACCAAACCTGAGCCGTCTGATTTCAGGTCCAGAAGTACACGCCTTCAATAAAGTTAGCCCGGCTTTTCAAAATAAGAGCAGTAGCTGAGGAGGAAAAGGAAGCTATCTGCCTGTAAAGACAAGGACTTGCCCGCCTCTCTTTTAAAAACTCCCTAGACATTCCAAATCGCTCAATTTGGGAAGAGGGGGAAAAAAAGGTTTCACGCAGTGGGTGGCCTTTAACCTGCAGCAGCCTCCGGGGCAACACCGACCGGAAGACGATCCCAAGTTAGAGAGGTTCCGAGAACAGGGGAAGGAACTGCTGGTCATCTAAGGAACTAGGATCATAATTCCGATTCTTTTCCTCACTCGCTATATATCTCAGACTAGCCTCTTCTCTGGGGATCAATTTACCCATCAGTGCAATGGGAGCGTCAGCAGGGGACAGGGAAGACTCTCCGATCTCGGAGGTTCCTTCCAGTCAGAGCACCTTAGAATCAGGCCTCCGCTGAAGATGATGGGCAGCGCTGCGAAATCGAGCTGAGGGGCCTCCCCGGGGCAACCGGACTCAGCAGCTCACCCCGGCCCCACCTCAAGAGACCGCGCCCAGGAGTCCGGGTCGGCCTAAGGGCCTCAGCCCCGGCCACCTCAGCAGAGCTCACGACATGCTCGTAGGCCAGAACGGCCATTAATAACACCAGAGGCCGATGGGCCCCAGAGGGGACCCCAGTCCCTACCCAGCCGCACACCCTCACCTCAGAGTTCTGCCTCACCTCCGGACTGCGATCAGCGGCTCTCCACTTCCGGCAAGAACCGCCCAGCAATCTCCGCGCGACCCACTTCCGGGCCCTCACTGGGCGCGGCACCCCCACCGGAAATGAGCCGTCGGCCAAAGCGCTAGGCTAGCCAGCGAATGGGCAGGAAGTCTCATTGCCGCGCTCGTGACTCCGCCCCTCTTCGCCACGCCCGGGAGAGAGCGTCCAGGCTCGCCCAGAGGGCACTTGGGAAAGAGCCCCGCCCTCAAGGCGGGAGCCACGCGGAGAGGGCGGGCTCACAAGCGAGGCCACGCCCTCGGCCCGTGGTACCTAGCCGGAATCGCCCCCAGAGGCCCGGGCCGGGAAGGGCAAAAGTCCCTGGCTAAGCTCCCCTCCGGAAAGGACATCAGAGTGGCCAGTTCCTCTGTCAGTTTGGTCTCAGTGGCAGACGCCGGTTTCTTTCCGCTGCAGTCGGCAAAGGGTCTTGGAAGGACTGGGGTCTAGGATTCTCTGAGGGCGGCAGTCCGGGCGGCCGTCTGGGCGGCCGTCAGCTCTCGGTGGGGATCGAGGCCAAGCTCCTCCCGTCTCTGGGCGTGCGTACCTCCGTTTCCCCATTTGTGACGTGGGAAGGCAATTAGTCTGGACATTGTTGTGGGAGGACTTGCGGAGACTGGGCGCGGGGCGTGGGGCGTAGGGGTCAGTAAGGGCGCAGTGGGCCAGCGCCAGTTCGGCTGGCAGTCCCGGGGTCGGGAAGGTAGGGAACCCTCCGCTCTCGCCCTGCTTCCTGTTTGCTCGGTGTGTTTTGTGACCATAGATGGTCAGGTCTGGGGCCGCGCGGAAGCCTCCGCCCTGTGGTTTGGAGCCCTTCCTCCTGGCGCGCGGGGTGTGGTTCCCTAGAATAAGATGAGCAAAATTAGAGCAGATCCTGCACCCACTCCGCTGAGATCTGGTTTCTGAGAGTCTCGCCCGGGGCTGGGCGGGCCCAGGCGGCTGCTACTCGGTCAGTGGGAGGTTCCGCCGCTCGCAGGGGAGGCTTCGGTTCCTTGGGACTGGAGATCCGATCTTTGTTCCCTCAAGACTCAACGCTTTCCAACCGGTCATTATCCTCCCACAAAGATTTATTTCTAGAAAAAATTGGCGAGTGCCACAGTTCCCGCCCCTTCAGATGAACTAATGTGACAGCTCCGTGTTTCAAGTTGAATGCAGGCGTTATATGCCGGAGTCATTCAACAAGTAAAATTCTTATAATAACAACTGCCATTTACTGCACGCTGACTACTTGCCAGGCCCATGCTGAGTGCTTCAGGCGTATTTTCATTTACTCCTAATAGCAACTCTCGGTGGTAGGTACCATTATGTCCTCTGGTTTTCAAATGAGGAAGCTGAATAACTTGCCAAGGTCAGAAAGTAACTGTTGAAACTTTGAAGGAAACACATCTGTCTGACTCTAATCCCATGAGCTTAGCCCCTGTGATAGACCATACTGGAGTCATTCGAATCAGTGAATGCCTCTGGATCTGGAGAGAAACACTGATTTCCAGTGCTGGCATAGGCCCTCTAGCAGGGGTCAGTCTTGGTCAGGTTACTTTGGACGGGTTACTGGGCCTCTTCCTAACTGTATGACTCCCAGCATGTTTAAAAGAATATGACAACATAAGAAAATACACGGTATAAAAGTCAGTATATTTTAGATATTGACATTTAAAAATACTGTCTCTTTCACACACAAACTCTATTAGGACGTAATCTTTGACTCTACATTAGTTCTTCTAAATCTCTTTCTGGATTAGGGACAGAAGGAACATCGACTATACATACATGCATTTTAGAGGAAGGAGAGAGAGAAGAGGAAGCAGGAAGGAGAAGGAAGAAAATTTCCTCATCTATCAAATGGGGATTATTCATGGGGCCGTAATGAGAAATAGAAGCAGTAATATATATGAAACCGCTTTGTAAAATGCTTCACTATAAGCCGGGTGCAGTGGCTCATGCCTGTAATCCCAACACTTTGGGAGGCTGAGCTAGGTGGATCACCTGAGGTCAGGAGTTCAAGACCAGCCTGGCCAAAATAGTGAAACCCCATCTCTACCAAAAAAAAAAAAAAATTAGCTGGTCGTGGTGTTGGGCGCCTGTAATCCCAGCTACTCGGGAGGCTGATGCGGGACAATTGCTTGAACCTAGGAGGCAGAGGTTACAGTGAGCCATGATTGCACCACAGCACTCCAGCCTGGGTGACAGAGCAAGACTCTGTGAAAGAAAGAAAGAGAAGGAAGGGAGGGAGGGAGGGAAAGAAAAAGAGAGAAAGAAGGAAAGGAAAGCAAAAAGAGAAAGAGAAGGAAGGAAGGGAAGGAAGAAAGAAAAGAGAGAGGAAAGGAATTTGTTTTATTTATAAATTACCCAGTCTAGAAAGGAAAGAAATTTATATTATTTATAAATTACCTAGTCTAGGTATTTTGCTATAGCAGCAAGAATGAACTAAGACACATGTATACACTCTCATTCAATCCTGCTTTTCCTTCATGGTAGGTATTACAATCCTCATTAATTATTTGTGCAATTATATTTTAATATCTTCCTCTCTTGTAAGTTGTTTCAATAAGTCCTTGTTTGGCAAAAATTGATAATAAACAATTATAGTAAAAATTGACTAAATAAAAAGAGTGAGAGGGGCCAAGGTGGCTCTGAGTCTTAGCATGTGGGTAAATGGAAGGTGTGAAAAGGATTGGATCTGGGTTTGGGGGTTTTGAGCCTCAGTCCTCAAAATCCAGTCTGGGAAGAGAAAGAGAAGAAGGAAGGCAATTATCAATTTACAACCAAGAATTGCCAGGAGAGAGCTGATTGATTCTCACATGTGCCCCCTCTTCATGTATTATTGCCACTTCGTTATGGCCTGGATTTCAGCACATTCTGAACCTGCAGAATCACTCTGTCTCTGAGGGAGCCACCCAAGCTTCCTCTTTATCTCTCAGGGTTTCAGACACAGAAGTCTGGCAGTTCATCTGGAGCCTTTCCCAGACTGACTCAGAGGACCGCCTGCATCTGTGCAACCTGGCTCAGAGCCTGTCTACATTTGGGCAGATCCTATATCACCCTGCCAAATGGGCTAATGACAGACAACAGTCTATGTGACCCTGTCTTTCTTCCCCTCCAAGGGTATGGCCCCAGATTTCATCCTGAGATAGGGTCTTAGGTCCAAAAATTAGGAGTTGACAAAAGAAATAGCAGCAATATAAAAATATGATTAAGATCTGGCTTTGGGGTCACTGTGAAACTGAATGCCAACTCTGCCACTTACAAACTGTGTGATCTTGGAGTTATCCTCATTTAACCTCAGAGAAGATATTAATACCCATCTTAAATGGCTGATAGAAATTAGGACAGAAAACTAATAAAACACTTGGCTCACAGTAAACACTCAATGAGTACTAACAATTATTATTCAGTACAGAGAATCTATTGTCTGTTTCCCTGGCAAAGGCCACCAGAAAGCAAAATAAGGTCTAAAGTGTCAACACACTAGTTGGTGCCACCAGAACTACTACTACTACTGTCCCCATCCCCAGAAAGTTTTCCCACAGCCCCTGCTTCTTTGTATTGCTAACTTTTTTTTGCCCAGACTGGAGTGCAATGGTGCGATCTGGGCTCACCACAACCTCCACCTCCTGGGTTCAAGCAATTCTCCTGCCTCAGCCTTCCCTGTAGCTGGGATTATAGGCATGCACCACCACATCCAGCTAATTTTTTGTATTTTTAGTAGAGACAGGGTATCTCCATGTTGGTCAGGCTGGTCTCAAACTCCTGACCTCAGGTGATCCACCCACCTTGGCATCCCAAAGTGCTGGGATTGCAGGCGTGAGCCACCGACCCTGCCTGTTGTTTTTTTTTTCAAGACAGAATCTTGCTGTGTTACTCAGGCTGCAGTACAGTGGTATAATCATAACTGACTCCAGCCATGAACTCCTGGATTCAAGTGATCCTTCCACCTCAGCTTCCAGAGGAGAACTACAGGCACATGCCACCAAGCCCAGCTACTTTTTGTATTATTTTTAGAGACGGAATCTTGCTATGTTACCCAGGCTGGTCTGGAACTCCTGGCCTCAAGCAGTCCTCCAAACTTGGCCTCCCAAAGTGCTGGGATTACAGCTGTGAGCCACTGCACCTGGCCTGTATTGCTACCTTTGGATTCAAAGTTAGGCTAGGCACAGTGGCTCATGCCTGTAATCCCAGCACTCTGGGAGGCCAGGTTGGTAGGAATACTTGAGCCCAAGAGTTCAAGACCAGCCTAGGCAACACAGTAAGACCTTATCTCAAGGAAAAATAAATAAATCCACAAAAGCAAAATTGGGCCTGTGCCCTTGGCTATAAATGAGACCAAATAAACCTACTGCCCACAGATAACAGAAAACTTAACTGTAGTAACTTTTAAAGTCAGTTTTTCTCACATATAAGAAAAATGAAGGTAGGCAGTTTTATTGGCTCAGTAATGTCAGAGCTGGTACTTCTGTGATTCACTTCACCTTACCCTTGTAGTTGCAAGTTGGCTGTTGCAGCCCTAGCACCATCAAGGAAAGAGGAAGGGAAATGTGCAGCGTTTGAAATGGGAAAGCTGACGTTTTCTAAGGGACCCACACAGCATGCCCTGCTTCCTGTCTCAAAGCCAGATCTAACAGCAAATACTTCAGCTTTTTTGCCCCTGAGAGGAACACATCTGAGATGCATTTTGTGGTGTTTTTGAGGGCCCGTAAAGGGCCTGAGCCCAATGTCCATAACAGTAACCACTCATTAACAAACCCAAATTAGCTTTTCTCTAACTTACTGGTATCAGGGAACCCAAATTAAAAAGAATGGAATTGGCTAAGTCCGCTACATCAGGAAAGTGACAAGTAAGCATTGCCGCTTGGACAGTGTAAGGTGCGTGCTCACTCTCTGTCTCTCATGTTTGGGATATTGTCCAAACATACAAAGGGGACACAGATGCTGAGTGTCCAATAAGAATGATAGGTGTCCACTAATAAACTCTTGTGACTTCCTGACATCAAAATACACCATTCTTTCTATACTTAACACTTCAAAAAACAAAATAAAACCCCAAAACAACCCCTCCCTTTTATAACCTAAATTGTACTGTCTATACTCACCTCCTTCCCCCCAAAAAGAAATTATCTCAAATTCTTATCAGTGACTTAATCCAGCAATAAATCCAGAATCTCTGATAATGTTCATTCTTTCTCCAGTTCATAATAATCCTGCCTTAATATTCTGTAGCCTATGGACTGAACTTCCTTTTTTCTTTTTCTTTTTTTTTTTTTGAGATGAAGTTTTGCTCTATCTCCCAGGCTGGAGTAGAATGGCATGATCTTGGGGCACTGCAACCTCCACTGGGTTCACATGATTCTCTTGTCTGAGCCATCAGAGTAGCTGAGATTACAGGCACCCACGATCACGCCCAGTTAATTTTTTGTATTTTTAGTAGAGATGGGGTTTTTCACTATGTTGGTCAGGCTGGTCTCAGATTTTTGACCTCAGGTGATCCACCCACCTCAGCCTCCCAAAGTGCTGGGATTATAGGTGTGAGCTACCTCCCCTGGCTGCTGCTGCTTTTTTTTTTTTTTTTTGAGATGGAGGCTCCCTCTGTCACCCAGGCTGGAGTGCTGTGGGGCAATTTCGCCTCACCGAAATCTGTCTTCCAGGTGATCCTCCTGAAGAGAATCCCTAGTAAGATCCCTAGTAGAATCCTGAGGAGGTACCCC